GGGGGGGAGGGAGGAGCAAATACACGAGAGAATGAGAGATCTACCGAGTCTTAAACAGGCTACGAAGTTTTCCACCGATCTCTTGAGATTTCAGAAAAACGTTTGACATATTCTAAATACATACATATATATATTTATATATATACACATAAAAGTAATGTAGTTCATCTAATAACTTTATATATATTATATTGTTCATTCAACATACATATTACTATTCCCAAAGGATATTATTTCTTATACATTTTACGAAAAAAAATTATATTATCATATGTCAATATTAAATTTCTATATCATAAAATTTTACTATATTTACATTTATATTAAAAATATATAATTTGTAAACTTATGAAATAGGAAAAGTTGAAGAATTCTTATATATTTATCGAAGAAAACAAAATAATAAAATATACGTAGTAATCTTAAAGTTTTTAATTTATTTCTAATTATTTGTAAAATAAATAAAAATTTATCAAGCTTGAATTTAAAATATTCCCTCTAGTATTAAAATATTACCTCTAGTATAAAAACTTGTAACACAGATTAAAATTAATTAAAGTGTTACTTTATAATACATAAATGAATATCAACGTTTGAAAATTTGAGTATCGAAAGAATGATGAATTATTCTTGTATCCTATAACTGCAAAATTGCATCGCATACCGCAAATTTTAAATCTACTTTGAGATAAACAAAATATGGTATCTGTAGAACCAGGTCCAAACACCAAGAACCCAGGGGCGTAGACTACACAAATTGGTTTCTGTATATACCATTTCTTCATTATCGGTGTAACCAATTTTAATGCCGAATCATCATTTTTCCTCCTTATTTCATTAATACATATACACCGTGCCGCAATATTTAAAATATTACTAATCGATACATTACGCTCCTTGTACCGAGAAATAATAACAGAAGCAGAATTGTAAAACAATAACACTGATTACTCGATGGCGAAAGGGTGTGGCAGCGCCATTGAGTCGTTACACGCAGGAATAGAGCAAGTAGTGGGATAATACGTGCGATTGCGTATATTTGTGTGCGCACGCGTACATATATATGTATGTAAGTGAATAAGCAAGAAAGTAAGAAAGAAGAAACGAAGATAAGTGAAACGAAGAAAGAAACGACTGAAGCGCAAAAGAAACAGATAGAATAAGAAGCGAGATGAACATACAAAAAGAGAAACAGAAATAAAGAGAGAAAGAGAAAGAGGGAGATGGTAGAAGTGGCGGAAACTCGGAGCGGCGGAGTGCGGATGGGGACAAGGATGAACCACCTTAAAGGGGATAGCATGAATCATAAGTAATCAATATTATACCTACGACCGATATAGAAAAATTTTGAATGACATTTAACTTTTGCAATATTTAAAAAGACCTGTAATTTGAAAATTTAATTTTATTTCTGAATGAAACTTGTAATTAAAATACTTAAGTATCTTTAATATAAAACATATATTAATTAAAGTAAAATTTTTATTCTTTTAATGTATTTTCATTAATAATGATGTAAAATTTGTACTAAGTGCTTTCAATTTCTTATACATACTGTAAGGTTTTTTGCATCTTTTTAACCGATTATAAAATATAGTTATGTAGTTTCATAGTTTGGATCACTCTCTTTAAGTACAGAATTTATATTTATCGGTATTATAAAATATTAAACTGAATTAAAATAAATTAAATTTAAATAACAAAATTAGACTAAATGCACTAAAAATATATAAATCATTCTTTTTAATAACCAAATTAGAAAGCGCCATGGAATAATATAAATAATGTAGATTCTAAAATATAATCATAACTGAGAAAATAATTTCAATATCAATCGCCATTTTTATAAATGAATAAGTTTTTATATAATTTTGTATTATATTGAATCTTAAAAATTGTAAAATTTCATATTAAATATCGAGAAATTTCTAATATAAAAATAATGTAAATGTAAAGAAAATAAATTATTAATTTAAAGACATTCTTATTTCAAATATAGCATTCAACTTCTAATTATATGCATTACCAGTAACATTTTCATAGTGAGAAAAGTCATATTATTAATTTTTGTAATACGATCAAATACTAATTAATAAAAATCATGTAATAAAAGCGAATCGCTTACAGTTATTTCACTATAAGCACAATTTTGTCATATAATACGAATATTACAAATATCGTTATGAAGTTTTTAGATATGTCCTAATATTTTATTGCGATCGCAAGTTGTATTCGAAGGATAATATAATCTTTAATGATCAACAAAATTTTAATTATATATAAATAATATTCATATTCCATATTTTATAAATTTATGTATTGTACTACTATATATTATTATTCAGATCAATTATTTCTGTATGTTATAACAGAAGTACAGAAAATACCATTTAACTGTATTAGCACCTAAGGTGTAAATTTCAATAGTTTATGGTATTATTTTTAGTATTTTTTAATTTAATTATGTACATTTTTATTTCATATTAAATTTGAAATTTTTAGTTGTAATATTATTTTCTAAATTATATTAATATTCAATAGATGTATATAAATATAGCATAAAAAGTTACATTAAACTACATTTTAATAAATATTTCAGAACACGTAATAATCATTAAAAGATTTAATTATTAAAATATAAAAAGAGAAGAATATATTTATTTATTAAGAAAAGAACACATTAATTTATATATGCTCCTTTTTGTTAATTCTTTAATTTTTATACTAGTATTAATTACTTATTACAAGTTACAATTCTTTGGAATCATTTTGTATTATTATTTTCCTTCCCTTACTTTTTGATAATTTTTTACCTTTTCTTTCTCAATATTTTTCATAATTTTTTTAAATATATTATTCAGTATATCTAACACAGTAGGATAAATAATAATTATATCTTTCATGTACATATATACATTCATAATTTATATTATTTTACATTCTTAAACAGACATATTTATTTTATCATTAAATTGTAATGGTTGACTTGAATGCAATAGGCCATATTTTTGAGATAATACATTAAGGGCAGCTACATCTTTTGCCTTTACAATAGTTTGTCCGAAACCTATAAGTATTATCTATTAAATATTCATTATGAAATATTTATTTCTTTTAAATATTTAAAGCTGCTACCTGAACCCAAGTATTTTTTGTTTGCATAAATTCCAACATGATAAGTAGATAAAAGTGTGTTTTTCCCAGCTTGTCCAATAAGTCTTGCTTCTATGGGTGTTTCTGTTTCCATAGATATGATGTCATTTAACATCTCAAATGGTTTAGTTGGACACCATATTTCAAGTAGGTCTTTGTTTGCTAATCCTGATATTAAAAAATCTCTAACAAAAGTAGCTGCATGATCAATATTAACACTTTCTGTAAGTGCTCCCACCAGTGCTATAAATGTTTGTGCCAATGTTTCTTGAGATACAGGATGTTCCTAAATAATATATAATAAAATTATTAGTTTATGATTATATGTAATGTGCAGAAATATATTTTATACCTAATAGATATAATATGCACAAATCATAATTTTATTAAAATAATTAAATAGTATACAAACATCAGTTAAAATAATGTCTTTTGTTCCAATGTGTAGGGATGCTTTAGCTAATATTTCTTGGGACAAAAGATAGTCATGAAATGCCCTGAAATACAAAGATATTTATAAATATGTAAGGTATAATTAAATAATTGAAATATTTGAAAGATAATACATATTAAGAAATATTACTATACTTTGATAGTAAATAAATATTATTTATGATTAAGTAATTTAATATTACTTTATCTTTTGCTGTATTACACTACAAAAATATTTTAATCATTTAGTTTCTATAAGTAAATAATAAATTATTATAGTGTTATGTAAAAAGTTTTTATAATAGTGTTTAAAAGCAGTATTAAAAACAAGAACAAAAATTCTATTAGCAGAAAGATGTATATACAAAGGTAACATATAATGACATAACAAAACATTTAATATAATAAAATTGTTTATATCCAAAAATATCCTTTTATAACTAATTAATTATTAAAGAGTAATATATCATTACTACATATGCATGCAAGATATATAATATATTCCATTTCACAAAATTAGATTAAACTTTCATTTTTTGAAATATTAACATTAAATTATAATGATATTTATAAATGATTTGAATATGGGTCCTTTTTAATTTAGGTATATTAAAAAGAAGTTCAATTAACTTATTTGAAACTATTAACTAACATTAGTATTACTGTACATACATATATAGCTGATAATATGTTTAAAATTATCCAATGTAAAATAATAACAAATGTCTTTATATCTTATTTCTTTATAAAATAAGCTAAAATATAAAAAGGATCTATTTATAATATAAACTAATATTTGTAACTAATTACTAAATTATTAATACTTTATAATGAAAAGATGTTAGAAATTTTAACTAGTTCACATAAAATGAATCATTTTTAAAACTTTACTCTCAGTATAATATAAATTTTTATAATAATTCACATACACTGTATTTTATACATACATAATGCCAACTTCAGGAACACGTGGTAAATTTTGTTTTAAATATTTTTTTACAATTGTGGAAATTATTTCTTTTCCATTTTTAATGAATTCTTCATTATGTTGCATATCCAATGTAGGATCTTTTATTCCCATATTTTCCTGTTTTTTTAATTCGTCTAAGATATATGATTTATGTATAAATGCTTGATTCAATTTTTCAATATTAAATTTTTCTGTAAGTCTTTGATTAAATGCATATATTTCTACATTTCTATTCCACTCAATGAAACTGCTACGTTTTGGTTCAACTTGAGGTTGTAATGTCCTTTTTCTACGAGTTATTTCTTTTTGAGTTGGAGATACCCATCGTTTGATATACCTGCAATCTATATGCACAATTAAGATGTATATTTTTATATATGTATGTATATAAATATACTTTGTATATTTTTTCATACAATTAATATTATCATAATATTTACCTTCATAATTTACATATTTTAAGCTCATACGATGTTTTAAATATAATTGTAATCTGTTCATATTTTTACTTCACAAGAAATATAATATAAAATTTTTCAAAATGTTGATTTTATTTTACAGGAGAATTGTTTTTGTTAATATCATAAATATAATTTAATGCTTTATAGCTATTCAGTTATAATGTTTGCAATGTATTATTGATAACAAGAACAGCCTTCACAATCGTAATTGAATAGTATTTTAAACATACTATATGCCTTATCCAGAATCGAACATATAAGTATAGTGTTTTAAATGTAACCAACGAAAACTTAATATATTACTAGATTACAAAACAATACATGATAAATGTCTCAATCATATTTTAATAAAAGAATTCACACGTATAAACTGTAAAACAAAATTATTGGAACAATTATTTCCAATTTCTTAACCAAATTTATTAACTCAAGAAAATAATTGAACATAATAAAAAAACAAAAGAAAAATAATTATATGTAACTATAATAAAAAGTGAATTAAAAAATATATGATACATATTTTATATATAGTATAAAATTTACATTTTATATGTAGTACAAAATATTTTTTTTTCTTTAAAACTAAAATTGTATCGTTTTTGATTTTAAAGAATTATGTAAATAAATTAATATATCATTTTGAATTAAATTTAATTAAAATATTATTATTTGATGTTATTAGAAATAATACTTTGAAATGCTACAAATTTGTAAACATATATGACGCATATTATTTACATAATAATTATTAATATTTCTATCAATTACAAATTTGTTGAAAATTTTACAAGAAGAATGTAAAATAAATTTTATTTTAAAATAATATAAAAATATAATTTATGTAGGCTATTTTTACGTCGAGTCATATATCTATTTTCTTATTACTCTATGGTGATACCAAGTGACATAATACTTGTAGACTGTAATATTAATTGAAACGCATATTCTTGTAAAGTTCATGCAATTACAGTTATATTAAATTTTGATAAATGTATCTGGCAATAAACAATTTCATATTATAACGATTATTGAAATTTTTGTTATGTGGAATAATCAGTGAATAGATTTTTGTATTAACCTATGTAAGATTAAAAAATGTTAGTTCCATGTAACGTAAATAAATAGCTTGGTGACAGGTTTATTTAAAAATAAAATTTAATTTACATAATTATAATCTTACGAAAGTGATTAATTAATATTAAGCAATGTATAAGATAAATCAAGAACCTGATGTACCTGCAGCATTAGGTCTGTTATCACATCTAACAAATGATGAACTAAAAGAATTATTAAATGATGATACAAAATTTGAAGATATTGTGAAAGATGTACAAGTAATTTTGATTTTTCATATTTTATTGTCTTTCTACTTTTATTATTCTTAATTTTAGGTAATTCAAGTTTACTTTTTTTTATTAGTTTAAGAATTTAGAAACTGAGAAAGAATTGCTAATGGCAAGCAACACATCTCAAGCAGAATTTAATTTATCAAAACAACCAGAATTACAAAAAGGTAAACAAATACTAAAGGAACTTAGTGAAAAAGGAAGTAGGTTATGCTCAAGTGTAGCAGCAAAATTGGATAAAATAAGTATGTATTTATACCCACTACATTTAATAATTTTGAAATATCAAATAAAAGTAATAATAAAATTTATAACTAATTTGAATTATTCATTACTGTTTGTATAGTTAATTTCTATTAATTACAAACAGAATTCAATTCTTATTTATTTAATAAATTTGCAGAAAATCAGTCGGGAGAAATGACTGCTGCTACTGCATTAGATTTATTACAAACAGCAGCAGCTGAAATAGAAGAAGAATCAGAGGTAAAACTTAATTATTATAATATTTAACATATTGCTAACCTTTCAAAAAAATGTATTGTTTTCATTATATTCTTTACTATAAATAATATTTTATTCTAATATTTATCCTAATAATTTTGTTTTGTAAAATTATTGAACAACTTTCGGATACATACCCAAGATTTTAAAATCGAATCAGGGAGACATGTTTACACATTTTATTAGCTTTCCTTGATTGTGTATTATATTTCTCATATACTTTTCTTAAGCCAGCATATAGAGGAAGATATTAAAATATCAGATAATTTTCTGCAACTTTATCACAATCACTTCTTTAAATGATTTGAAGATAGTTACCATAACATTTTTCAGCTTCCGTTCATGGTAATTCAAATGTTGTAATATTTTTGTCACAGAATGCAATGCTTAAAAATCTGTGTAAAACTGTAGACATTGCAGCAAATCATATGTCAAGTTTCAACATGTATCAATGACTTGTATTAATTGTAGAGTTTTAATTTTGAATTATTTATTTGTTGTATTTGGGAAAACTTTTGTTTGTTTCAATGTAAGAAAAATACAAGTATTTCTCTACATTTCTTTCTCATTTTAACTTACTGTACTGATACTGCCTTGCTATTCCAGTGACACAAGCAGTAGTTAATGACTACTTTCTGACATTCGGATATTGTTACTGTCATAAAAACAGAATTAATGTTACAGAGAGTGAAACAGTTATGTTTTCTTCATTCTAATTCGAAATAAAATAATTTTTCAAACACAAACTGTTACTCTACGTTAATAATTTTTAAATTCGATTATATTATGCAGTACAAAAATATGTATAAATTTGAAAATTCACAGAGATAATCGGATTAAAAAACAATGAAAATGCATTATATTTATATTGTTAAAAGTTTTCTAAATATATAAACACTCCCTGATCTGATTTTAGCATGTCAGGTACCTGAAAAATTGATTTCAACTTCCGATACTTGAAAGTGTTAGGATTCAACCTGATCTCAACCTAAACTCGGAATCTCAGATACCCACACCCATAAAATTATGAAATATTATGTATTATTTTCTTGCAAATATTTTTATCTTTGAATGTGCAGACCATAGCTGAAAAATTTTTGGCTGGAGATATGGGAGTGGATGAATTTTTAGAGCAGTTTTTGTCACGACGAAAATTAATGCATCTACGTAAAGTTAAAGTAGATAAATTAAGGGAATTAATAAAAAAATCACATACTGCAACTAGTGATTCTGGATATCCAATTGCTAGTAATTTTCATAGTATTGCCCCTGCAATTCCATATCCAGCTGGACCTGTTTCAATGCCAATGCCAGTACCATCTGGTTTACCACACAACAGGCCGTATTAAGTTATATCTGACAGAATAAATTATTAGATTCAAAACAATTCACTTCTTAAATATTGAATTTTTATTACTGCATAAAACATATGCCATTGTAATTAAAAATAATTTTAAGTAAATAAAATTTGTATTAAGCAATGCGTATAATAAAGCAAAACATTTGTAATATTTAATTGAAAGATTCTATATATTAAAATAACCTATTTTATTTTATCTAATATATTATTCTAATATATTAGAATAATTTTCTGAAATAAATATATTAAAATATATGGTATAAACTATATCTTTTTAACATAAAAATGTGTAATATTTAGATATACAGCTTACTACAAACATAATAATACATTTTCAAATATTTATTTATACATTGTTCTTCACATTTAATATAACATGTATATTAACAAATATTGATTTTTTAGTCAAATTGATTTAATATTTTTGTTCTTGCTTAGCCCAAATTGTTCAATTCACTTTATAAAGTCTAAATTTATAATTCATTAGTACATTTTAAATTATTTTATTAATACTTGTAAAATAGAGACCTGATCATCATATAGTTAAAATGATCAATACTAAATCTATTTTCAAATTTATTATATAATAAATTAAAAAATAATGTTAAATATTTGTAAAATCATTCTATATAGGAATTCATAAAATAAACTTGATAGTACATTTTAAAACAAATATATTTCATTTTACTAATTTAAAATATATTATTTTTATTTACCTTTCTTACTATTCCTATTAAGGATTACCTTGTATATAAATACATATAATGCTGATATTAAGAATATCAGTAAATAGAAGAATAGAAGGTATATTCTTTTGTTGTCAATTTTATTATGTTCTACATATTCTTGTTCTTTTTGTGCCATTCTTGTCTGCTTTTGCCTTTCAAATATCTTTGTATAGTGATTTTGCAACCATTCATCAAAATTATAAATTTTCTGTGCAGCAAATTCCATTTGTTCTCTTTCATGTTTTATATTTTGATGTTTATGATGTTGATTTCCATATTTAATTAGAAGAGTTCTATCATATTGTTTACGAGTATTATATCTGCTGAGTACATCATATGCATTTGAAATTTCATGAAATTTTTCTTTTGCAAATTCACTTTTATTTTTGTCAGGGTGATATTTTAATGTTAATTCATAATATGCTGACTTTATTTCCTTAAATGTAGAGGTTGGAGATATTCCCAAGGTCTCATAATGTGTTTTAGGTTTTGTAGTTATTTGATTTCTCTTTGTATATAGAAATAACATTGATCGTTTTAAATATTTTGTTACTGTTTTTTTACTTATATTTATTATATAAATATACATGACAAGAAAATTTAAGTTATTTTAAGTTAATTTGTACTATTTTAATACTATTTTAATATAAGGATATGTTATGTCAAATAATATTAATATAACCTACAATGCAAAAAATAGAATTATTAATATAAGAAATATTATTGTTAGTCTATACTTCCACAACTTTACACAATTTTTAGAAAGAATATATAATAAAATTACAAATAAGCTACCATTTATAATCCTTCATTTGACACTTAAAGGTAAGTAGATGAATAGCATTTACAATATAATACAGATAAAAAATAAATTTGATATTATAATGTGATGCCAGATATGCAGAACATTTTCCTATTTTTAATGCAGAAGTAGGAGAAAAGAACTAGGAGTGGGGAATAATGTAACATAGTGATAAAGACACTAAAGAAGGTAGAGGGATTTAGTGTTCGTTCGCTGTAATTCACACACTCACTTCATTTATTTAAAGCTAACACATATAGCACATTCTGAGGGCATTGGCGCGTATCACGAGATCGTATCCCACTTCTACTTCTCTACTCTTATTTTCGCATTGAAAGTAGGAGAATGTTCTGCACATCTGACAGTTTTATATTACATATATCTTTCAAATTTGAATTGAATAGTTGAATGAATTGATTTAATTATTGTTAAGATTAATTTAATTTATTAAGATTGTAATAATTGCATCATAATAAATATAAATTTTCATTTTAGATTGAAAAATGTTATATATTTAGTCCTAAATTGTATTGCATTAATTGTTCTATGTATTTAATTGTTAACATATTATATTTCTTCATTACATTATAATGTTTATTACATTATAATATTTATAATGTATATTATAATACATTATAATATTTTGTATTATTAATAAATATCAAGATTCCATAATTTTTTATTTTTGTGTACTTATTATCTTTTTATGATAAAATAAAATCTTGTAATAAAAGATAATTTTTTTTGTAATTTTGTATATAAATTATACACATCTATCGAATTAAAAATTAGGATTTGCAAATCAAATTTTTGTTCTATAAACTAAATCAACATTTTTTACGATATAACTTGAAGAGAGTTTGTAGTAAATAATAAAATATGTAATATATATTTAATATAATTTATGGTTAGTTACAGATTTTAAGCAAGTTTACAATTGTTAAGATATCATTACAATGTTAGCGTAATGGATATTTATTTATTTTCTACTATATATATACGTACAAAAATTTCATACAAAATATGTTTCTTGTATTAAAAATCTGTAACGTACATAATAAACTATCGTATTTTTTTTTTAATGATTGATTGCGTATGTATATACATGTAAACTCTCCAAAAGATTCAGTAAATTTATTTTGATTGTATGACATGAATGTGTGGATGATATTAATTTGCGATTAAAGAAAATGTATTAAAAAATGAACATATATATTTTTAGAAATTGTTAATAATGCCAAAACGAACTGAAATTGGTAAATGAATTAATTTATGTCACGAAGCACTTAGAGTCTTATTATGTGTGAATAAAATATAAAAGTCATTGTTATAAATACTAATTCTGATTATACGTTTGTGATATGCATACATAAACAAAAATATTATTTTATGTGCGATGATAATCTCTTGATTATACGAGGCGTTATAAAATTACTATTTAAAATCTTAATTTTTGTTTTCAATAGTTTACATATCAATTATTTAATTCGATTATTTTATGTTGTAATAGAATTTGAATTCCTATAAATTGTTATATATACTAAATTATTGTTGTCTAGAATTATTTTGTGATAAAAGCAATTGGTTCATAAAAGTTTCATAACATATCATTATTTCATTAACATATCAATTGTACTATGAAGAACAAAAAATGAGATGAAAGAAATTAAATATAGTATTTGAAGATAAACATAAATAAAAGTGAACTTTTATTTTATCTTACTTAATACACAAAACATAGATATAAATAACCATTGTTCTTATAAATATATACAAAGATACTATACAAAATGTAATGTAATTATTTTATATAAATTTGATATTTAGGTGTTATTCCTGATAATTTAAGGCGCGAGGAAACCATTGTTCAAATATCAGAAGCCCTTGATAATCTAGATTCTGCTGTTAATTATATATTTGAATCTATTGATAAGAGACTCTTAGAAAATGGTCGAAGGTAATTTTATGTTTGTTGTCAAATATTTTTATATTTAAACTTTAGTGATTTATATGTTTTAAATTCATGAGCAATCAGTTAAAATGTATCGTGCAACAAGATTTTTATAATCTTATAAGGAAATAATAATTTTTATTAAGTTTTTTAAGTATTGAATTGATAATATTTAAGTAAATTGTATTTCATATGCATATATTAATCAATTTTTTCTTATAGGTTGTCAAATGTTAAAGATAGAGCTACAAAACTTCAAAATTGTTTAAAATATTTGCAAACTAACTTAAATTTAAAAGCTGTAAAAATGTATTCTGCTGCAAGATATCCTGCTCGTCATACATACAAGGAATATGAGTTAGCTGTACCACCTCAATGTGAGGATATCAACAAAATACCAAAAGTTTATAAATGTTCTGTACCTATAAAAGATGTTCCTGAAACATATTTATCTTCTAATTGTAAAACAGAAGATGGTCAATATATGGCAAATAACAATTTGCAAGAAAAGCTACAATTTTATCATGTTCGATCTAAATTTAATAAAGATGATTATACAGATAACAGAGAAATGACATTTCCTTTTCATTTGTCTTCAATTAGTGCATTGTTGCTGAATAGTGTGGATAATCCATATAAGATACCTACAAAACAAATTTCTCATAAATTAAGCAACAAACAACAAATAGAAGATGCACCAGATTCAATTATACAACCATGGTTATCATCAGATATGGATTTATCTAGTAGTTATTTATATACACCAACTTTAGGCGAGGTAAGATATTCCAAAATACTAATTAATTTAAGACTATTTCTTATATATTGTTTGTCAACAATATATTACCAGGAAAATGTAAAGGAGATTAATATTTATCTGGGAAATATTCATTAAATGAACAAAAATATCAATAAGCATACTGTTACATAAAATTTTTTATTACACAGGTACCGCAGATAAATGTACCATCAACACTTCCAGATCTACCTGGAATCGTAGACGATGAAAAATTTGCTTTAGATCTCAATTATCAAAGTCCTATTGCACCCTCTTCAGCAGTAACCACGCCTACTATTCGTATGGATCTTCCAACTCCAACATCAACAATAGATGAGAAGGATTCGACTACAAAAGTGGACCAGACTATACCAAATCTGCCTGCCTTCGTTGATAGTGATTTTCCAAAAGATTCTACAGAACCTGTTCCACCACCGCCTCCACCATCATTAGTTTCATTGAATCAGTCAATTTCAGCTTTCTCGAGTTCTGAGGCCGATCGTTGTTCGTCATTAGTATCATCGTCATTAGTTCCTTCGATTCCACCCCCCCCCCCACCGCCGCCACCACCGCCACCACCACCACCTCCACCACCTCCACCGCCTCCACTACTACCAGCCCCAGTTCTGTCTGAGACTACCGCTCCTGAGTCTCAAATTAAAGATTCGGGAAAGAAGAAAACTGTTGAGGATCGAGGTAAAACAGCTAAGCTAGACGATCGATCAAATTTGATGGCAGCAATCCGTAACGCTGGTGGCATAGGAAGAGCGAAATTGAAACACACCGTACCGCCAGAGGAAGGAGGAAATCGTTGGGCTTCTGCATCTGTTGGAGGAGATTTAATGGCTGATTTACACACGAAATTGGCGCTCAGGAGAAAAGGAATCGCTGGATCTGGAGGTAGTGCTCTAGAAAGGATGTCCAGCTTGATTCCTCCGCCTCCTAAACCGACCGATGCAGCTACATCGGATAGAAACTCAGCCACTAGCGAGTATGATTCTCAACCAGATACCGATGACTGGGACGAGTAATACTATTTAATATTGTTGATTATACAAGATTAACTAAATAAAGTGTTATAAACTATTTTCCCTGAAATTACTGTAAATATTTATTCCAATATTTTTTTAAGTAAATGGGACAAATCATTTCATATAGAATCTGTTGTACAAAAAATTTGTTATATACTAAATGATTAACTTTTCTAATCCATTTAATTGCAAAAAAAAAAAAATAAAATTACATTGAACTTGATATTTGCAATGATTTCAAGAGAAAACACTTTGTAATACCTCACTTCTGGTCTACACTGTATATAGCTTAATTCGAAATTGGATAATTAATCTTTTTTTTTTTGTTGATTTTATTATATTTAGTATTTTATATACATTTCGATTCATAAGTTACTATGCACTTAGGAAGTCTATAACAAAAACAAACTTCTTATGAAATAATCTAATGAAATAATCTAATTCAAAAAACGAACTTAATACGTACTGATTGTGTACATTATAAAGCAAATTTATTATAAAGGAAACGTTTTTCTAATATCCTAATTAAAATCTGTTTTAATAGGTATTGAAATCTGTTAAACTAGGCATTTTATTAAAAACATAGTGTTTCTTTATTTTGCAATAGAAGTATATAAATAAACTTCTTTGGACTAATTGTAAGTTAAAAAAACAGTAAAATATTATATTATTATATTCGATTATTGGAAAAATTCCAATTTTTATTTTATAGTCTCATGTTATTCTATTTTTATTTTCTTATTTTATTTTCATGTTAAATTTTTATATATAATATTGAAACATTAATTACCACTACAATATGTAATTAAATAATTACTTAAGAGTTTTCTTTAATCTAAATTATGTAAAAAGTTTATTTTTTTTAAATATTATTAAAAGATATAATTTATGTTTTTAAATGTATAAATCTAAGAATAATGTTATTTAGTTAGTAAATGTTATATTTTATAAAAATAGTGTATGTCCATGATAAATATAATTTTCACGCTTTGGAAATTTAAATTTAGTTGAATAATTTTAGCTTCATACTTTTATTTATATGCTTTAAAAATGAAAAAGACGTTGGACGTGATATAAAAAAATAAAAACAAATTTAATAGTATTTTTTTTTTTCTTATTTCATCATAAATCCTTTATATTTTGAATTAAAAAAATGAATTCGTAAATGAATTATATTTTTGAATTTTATAAAGGGATGTATCAAATAAGACTATCCCTTGGATTAAGTTTTCATTGATTAACTGCAATTCGAATGATTATAAATAGTGCATAATACAACAATGCAAACATAGTAATAGTTGAATTATGACACTTCTATCTTAAAAGAAATAACAGTTTGAAAGAAATGCAATACAATATTTTTTTGTACATGCATGAATCGATGTAATATTAAAAAGCAATAATAAATTCTTCTTTTGTAACATGATATTTTATAAAATAATGCCCAAGTTAAAGAGAAATAAGAAAGGATATTTTGTTTAATGAACTTTGTAACGAGATATAAAGTACCTTTTTTATACACATTAATAATAATTTCAACTGATTATTGCTATAAATTTTACTATTCAAATTAATGACTATTAATCTACATGATCGTATTAAATTTAATAAATATTAATCTAAATATTCAACTGATAATCCAAATGAAAAATTAAGTTAAAAAATGGTTAGACAAAATATGAAATTAACTTTTTTCCCGTTATGACTGAAAAATGAATCGAGAATGTAATAAAAAATTATTAAGGACACACATCTGACAAAATTTGAAGTCAATATGAAATTATAAATTTTCGGTAAAATTTGCGTGTCAGATAGTTTTCAAAAAAATACCTTATACATACTTTTTGAAACACTGATAGCCATGGTAGCGAAATGAGAAAAAAACCACAAAGAAATTTATTATTCTTAAGACATCTATTTTTGAGTTTTCGATAATTAAGTTAAATTAAAAAGATTTTGTTATGGCAAAAAAAACATGTTTTAAATTGCCAAATGATATCTCACCCATGTATATTTTTCCCCTGCAGAGCCTCTTCAAATTATTACTAAATGTATTTTACAAGAATTTTTCCAATTTTCAGAAAAATGTCTCTTAATTTTTTCTTAAATCAACATTATATTTTGGTCTAGTAATATTAGATTTATCATCAAATCATATTTTGATCATATACTAGAAAATAGACGTGTTAGATATTTCGAATAATTCTAGTTGATGACAATAATCAATGATAAAATAAATGAAACAAAAATATTGATTTATTTTATTTAATTCAAAGAATTTGATAAAGAATATTCAAGAATTTTATCGTCAACCGACTAATATTTGGAATTACTTATTATTATACACAGATTCATACAATTGCATTTAAATATTCAAGCTATGATGCTAGTAATAGTAATAGAAATAGTATCAATAAGAATCACTTTATTGAATTAGAAAGATTATTAACGATTCTTATCACTGTTAACTGAGTTTAAATATATCCATATTAAAAATGAATTTCAGCAGATTTTTACCATTTTTCTAAAATCGAGTCGTCGTTATTGTCATCAACTTTTGAAAGTATCATCGCGAAGACAGAGTATCCGTGTGGTTATCGTTTTGATTTAACACTTGACCCCAGATTACTGGACCAAGCGTCTCTATAGGTTTATAAATGTTAGTTATACCGCGGAATTTGCAGTTTTTACTTGGTCGCTGCCGGTTTTTCATAATAGAATTACTATCTTTCAACGTCATTCACGTTTTCAACCCTTGATTAAAGGGTTCTTTAATTTCGTTGTTAACATCTCGACCTGTTTTTTCAACGTTTCTGCAATATAATCGATACAAACGAATCTTTTGCTTTGTGAACTATACGATATGAATTATCTACCAGCGCTTTCCAAAATGTGTCACATTTTCTTCAAATTTTGTTGCTCGTGTATTTTTCGAATATACGTTAATTCGACCCGTATATTGAACCTCTAAAATGTGTAGTAGCTTAATTGTAAGAAAAAAGAAGAAACATATTTGTAAGAAGACATAGACGAATTTTTATAAGACATTTTAATCAGTGGATAATTTATCATTAAATTGTGATAAATGAGTATTAGTGCACAGAGTCTAAAAAAATTGAAGAGGATAAATAGAAGAAAAGTGGATAATTGACGAAGACCGAATAATTAAAAGAGCTATAAAATTTGAAGTTCCAATTGAAAATTTGGTGGCACTCGTAAAAATGGTAGCCATTTGTGTTATTATTTAAATACCAATGTGGAATTAATTCGACAGAATTTGAGTAAAATAATCGAAATCCAAGTGGAATAAAAAATGGAGGCTGATTTTTGCTATATTCATAAACAGATCAAAGTACAATTTAATAACGCGTTATTTTGCAGCAATCAATAAATTTTCAAATAAGGTAAGTCAATTTGTACATGAATTATCGATATAGGTATCGAATGGTGTTAAAATGTTAACAATAAAGCGGTTCAAAGTGTAAAATACACTTTATGAAAAAAAGCGCGAGTGACATAATATGTAGTTATAATCCACACTGATTAGTGTGAAAATTAATGGTACACGTATTTTGCACGTGATGAACGAAATATAATGGAAACTAATCTTTGATATACTTCAATCCATGATACTGCATGCAACGTATCTCTCGTTACTCGACTACGTCTTCTTTTTCTTTATATTTTTTAAATATGCATATATCTGCAAATTAATGTATATGTATAGTATGATGGTATACAAAAAGCTAAAGAGAAAAGTGATACTCAATAGACGATTTATAATTGAAGAATTGAAAAATTTTCAAACATGTGGAAATGTATAATGAACAGAATATACAGAGCAATATATAGAATAGAATGTTTGGAATAATATATTCTATACATATATTATATATAAATATATGAAACATATATTTAGAGAATATTTTATAATAATGTATAATAATATATAATATAATATATCAATTATAAAATAAATATTTAATATTATAATTAATTATTAATCAACACATTCGCAATCGACGCGAATTCACGCGAATTTATAATCCTCTCCCTAGTTGTCACTCACGTGAATTCGCATAATTTCAAATTCTGTGTTTGGTTGCCATTAACATGATTTCAAAGAACAATTTGATGCACGCTCGATAATTTAAAACCAATTTTTGAATTTTTTTGAATTTTATTTTTACTATTTTTTAATTTTCAATCTACTATTTTTCAATTTCAATTTCAACTTCAATTTTTTAATTTTATAATATTAGATAAGAGAAAAATTATTAGTCGCAAATGTGTTGATACGTTATTCTTACCAAATTCAAATTTGACTCATAATTACCTATAATTAATTCGTTTGGTAACAGCATTTTTGGAAGTTTCGAAAGACATTATGGGAAGCGATTTAAAAATCGCTACTTCTACGGAGTTATCCATCTCGCGACCAAACAATTCGAATCAAGTAGAGCTACCAATTGACATGCGCTTCAACGAGGGTCATATTGTTAGTATTGTCATTTATAGTGTGTTAATGATAATATCTGCCATTGGAAACACGACGGTATTAGTGTTAATTATGCGTCGTAAACGTGTATCTAAATCGAGGATACATACGATGTTGATGCACCTTGCGATTGCTGATTTACTTGTGAGTATGACATAATGTTTCCGTCCCTTTATCAACGCCTGTCATTATTTCTTCATCTATCTTTTTTATCTTCTTTTCTTTTTCTTGTATAATTTAGTATACTTCTATTTCTTTATTAATATCTTAACAATATATTGAACAATTTTTATAATCGTGTCCTATAATTCATAATTTAATTTATAATTTAAACCAATTAATCAATTTTTATTAGAGAAAATGAGAGAATACTAACAAAGATAAGTTAAAAATTTAGTATATTTTTAGTCTTCATTGATATTAAAAATAACAAGTTGAAGAATTATTATAATGTAATATAATTAATAAATACCAATAAAATTGATGAAGTAAAAAAGATTCAAACCTTGCACCCTGGTTCTTCTTTTCTTTTTTTTATAAATATGATTTAGCATTTATTCTTCAATTATCACAGTAGTATGTTAATAAATTTCTGTAATTAAATACAATTAGTAAATTTTTTTAAATAAAATAAAGAGATATTAGCTCTTTGTATCCTGATATCCTTGTATCCTTTTTGCAACAGTTAATTAATATATATATATATTTTTTTTTTCATGTATAATTCAACATAAAGTTTGATGAATATACTAAAATAGCAGTAGATTACGTTAATGAACATACATATATAACCTGACGAAATCGTATTTGTAAAAGCTAATGCAATTATCAATAAAAAAAAATTTATGACCGACACGTAGTATAGACAACAAAATAAAAATAAGATAAGATATTTACATGTAATTGGCTTCTATGCATTAATAAACTTTAATGTCTTGCAATAAACTTTGCAACAATGTGTCGAGAATCAACTGATAGTAAAGAGTACGATTCTATTTAAATGAGCAAATTAATTTGATGTTTCACGAACAAATGAACATTGCAAAAGCATTATACAAAAATACATTTAAAGTACTATGTCGAATTGTATTGAATTGAATAGAATTAACCTATTAATTGGGAAAGACGAAGTAATTCAATTTATGTTATAAACAAACTATAATATATTTATATTTGCTGAAATTAAAATCGATCTGATTATTAATAAATAAATAAAGTAAAAAGCTGTAAAGCTCTATAATGGCGTTTTTCGCGTCATTTTCTTTCATTATATTGTAATACTCTCCACTTCTTATGATATATCTTCATAACCGAAAAATTTTTCGACAATTATTTCATCAACACTATTAACATTTGCTTTGTACTGCTTTAATACTTATGATTATAATGTATAACTAAGCTATATTATCTGATTATGCTAGTATACTATCTGATATGTAACCAAATTATACTATATTATATGCTTGTACTATGTAGAGCTAGAAAGATAATATATCAGTAATAAGAAGTTTCCTTATGCAAAATAGATATGAAGGGTAAAACAACAAAATTTTTCACTCAAATCTTAATTTTCAAAAAAATTAATTTTAAAAATTCCATTGGTTGAACATCATGAAATCCTTCGAAAAATGAGAAACTAAAATTGATCGACATAATATATGTTTGATAATTATTTTTTATGGTATAAATTAATTAAGAAGAGTAAAATTTTCTGTATGATATATACGTGTATAATATATACATAAAATAAAATTAATCTTTAACGTAATGTTAATCTCTAACGTAATATTACGAACAATATAACTGATTTACTAGTAAACAATCATATGATAAATATTAAATATCTTTTCAGTATCCAAATTCGGAAATTATTTTTTAACGATAACAAAATGATACAATAACTAGTCACATTGTCTTCAATCATATACATTTATGACCAATGAATGTTTAAAATCAATCTTCTCAAAAATAAACTTTATATCGATATATCCAACGAACTCACTACGTGAAGAAGAAAAAGGAAATGAAATAAATCCTCACTTTCCTTTATTCTCTTTATTACATTATTGTCGCAATGAATGTACAAATTTTCAGTTTATGTTAATTTTTTACTTTCTTTGACTTATCTTAAAATTACATAAAAATTTTGATTTTCTTGTTTTAAATCTATCAATATCCTTAATTTTCTCATAATACAAAATTTGTTAAAAAAAATTAATTATTCAACAAATACTAACCTTTGATTGAAATAAAAAAAATTGTCCCTTTCTTACTCAATTAAATTCTTTGAAACGTAGAAATGCATATTACTGAAACAAAAAAGATTTACAGGTTACATTTTTAATGATGCCACTTGAGATTGGTTGGGCGATCACAGTCTCCTGGGAAGCAGGAGATGCAATGTGTCGAATAATGGCTTTTTTTAGAGTATTCGGTCTATACTTATCATCTTTCATTTTGGTATGCATAAGTATGGACAGGTCAGTATAATTTTTTAAAGCAATCTTACTTTTCCTATTTCTCCTTTTTCTTTATTTTAACTCTTTTGATGCCATAACTTTATTTACTTTGTTGGGTATTTCAAGCATTAAATTTGATTTGATAAAAAAATTGTACTGACCACTTACAAAAAAAGAAATGAAGTTGAATAAATTTTTTATCACATTTTGTTATATAACATTAATCAATAATCAATAATTTAACTGATTATGTGAATTTTGTGATATAGATTTTTTCCTAGATAATATAAAAAATATCAATCTAATTTAATTGTTATGAAAAAATAATAGAAATACATTACATTTGTGCTTAAAACTTTTGTTTGGATTATTTTCATGAGATTCGATAAGTTGAAGCGTAGATATTTCAAATCTCGATCTTTCGATATTTCGATATTTTGACAAGTCGCATTCAATTAAAGAAACTTTACCTTTTTCATAATGTCCTTTTTATTTAATTTTTAAATACTCAATCAATTATTAATACTAGAATTGTTTCATATAATATTAATAAATTTTTTAAAAAATTTGGTACTAATTACAAATAAATATATAACTCAGGAACAATATATTGAAAACAATTTTTAAAATTTTTGTAAACACAAAAAAGATCGTATAAAATATTTTTTCGTTTGATCTGCTCCTATATATAAAGTTACTTTCATCAATTTATTGATGAAACAGTGATAGTAGAATAACTTCACGGATCTATAATGCAATGATAAATTAATTAGTGGCATCATAAGTGTTAAATTAATTGTTTAAGATAAAATTTTTAATTTAAAAAAAATAGAAATTATAAAAAATTAAAAATATTATAGAGTTGTATTACCTGAAGATTTTTTGTTCATGTTTTAATTTTGTTCTTCTTTATAACAAAAAATAATTTCATATTACTGAAACGAATTTCATTTAATAAAATTAATCATTTTAATTTAGATATTATGCAGTAATAAGACCTCTTCAGTTATGGGATGTTGATAAAAGAGGAAAAATCATGTTATGCTTTGCTTGGATGGGATCTGCTGTTTGTTCAATGCCTCAAGTATGACCATCATAAATAACTAATTAAAATAAAGACTTTTGTTACTATTTTTATTTCTATTCTATGTTAAATATTAAATTTTAGTTTATAATAGTTCTTAATTATTTTTTATAGTTTTCATCTATTTTTCATTTCAGATATTAAGGTACAGTTTATAATAATTTTTAGACTACAATGTATAAATTATATTAAAGTATTAATTGCTTAAAATAAGATGGGCCCATTATCTTTAAATTATATTATATATGATCTTAATTCATACATTATTAATATTTTAAATTTGATTTTACATATCTTACATCTTATTTAAACTATCTTCTATTTTTCGTTTCTAATCCATAAGAATTATTAATCATATAATATTTATATATATCACAGATAAATATTACATATGTAATATTTTTCATTGTTGACACATTTCATTGGAGCAATAATTAGTAAAAAAAAATTCTTATTCATTGATCTCAGGATACACATTAATAATTATGGTTTCTTTTTTAGATGATAGTATTTCATTTGGAAACCCATCCAAATATTACATGGTATTCACAATGTGTTACATTTAATACTTTTCCAACATACACTCATGAAATAACTTATTCTCTCTTTGGAATGATCATGATGTATTGGTTTCCACTTATTGTGATAATATATGCCTATACGAGCATTCTTTTAGAGATATGCAGGAGATCAAAAAAGAGCGAAGATGGTACAAAAAAATTTATTTTAAATTTAATAAATTATATTTTAATTTGATAAAGATTGATAATATAAATAATATCTTCATATTTTTAAATAATTAGTGTAGTAATATTGATCGTATGAATTTTAGATAAAATTCGTCGTTCTTCTATGGGTTTTCTTACACGAGCGAGAATACGGACTCTCAAAATGACAGTGATCATTGTTGCTGTATTTTTTATTTGCTGGACACCATATTATGTTATGAGTCTCTGGTGAATTATATCGCTTAATACATTGATTATTAATGTATTGGTGTTATATGTACTACATGTATTATATGTATTAACAATGCAGTTCATTTTTTAAGAAAATAATTTTCAATTTTTACCTTTTAAAGTTTAGTTCACCCTAAATTAGCTTCTTTTAAAATAATATTATACACCAAAATTTTTCCTGTTTATTTTGAAGTATAGAATATAGCTTAGGTTTTAAATTATTATATATCTATTTTACATCAATATGAGATATATTTGAATGTACAGGTACTGGATTGATCGGCCCTCGGCGTATAAAGTTGATCAACGAATTCAGAAAGGTCTCTTTTTATTTGCATGTACAAATTCTTGTATGAATCCTATTGTATATGGTGCATTTAATATTAGAGATCGTAATAAGGTATATGTCTCTTATTTTTTTATTCGACAAATGCAAAATTAATTAAATAAATATCTATATAATTAATGTTATTTCAGACATCTGTAAGACCAACCACCATAGAAACTCGAGTCACACCATTGTCATTATCACTTAAACTTCTTGATTAATGTTTATTTATGTGTAAGGAACATTGACAATAGTTATAAGTTAAATCTAATCATTAGCATCAAATTTGACTGTGATTGCTAAGTTATATGGAATTGCTTGGAATTATTAGAAACTGCTGTTCTTTCTGCAGCAGGGTTATTTGTTCATAAATGATTATTGAAAAAATTTGCAATTTAATTCTGCGATTTAGATAATAAATAAAATAAAAGGAATGAGAATAAAGGTATACAAAATATTGAATATTATTATAATTTAATTTTACTTTTAAATATTTATCCTAATTTTGAGACCTAGGATTTCTATTTTGTTGCGTGTAAACATTTTCATAAACTATGGATTTCAATATTTCTTTGCACACAAATTTTTATTTCATTATTTTCAGATATTTATTCCAGTAGAAAATTCTTATTGCTATTAATATAATGCTAGAAGGATTAACATTTGTGTCACAGAAGATTTATATCCAAAAACTCAATACCTTTTAGAAACCACATTTTTTAAAAAGCTATGTAAGTACTAATAACGTTGATGAAGCCAAAGTATGTCGTAAAGATGAAATATGCAGATACCTTGTGTAAAAATATACAGGATAATCTATATAAAAACATAAAAAATTTTTTTTAAATTTATTACAATGTAATATATCTATATGTAAATTAAATTATTAAAATTCAATGATAATGCTATTTATTTGTTCATTTGTACAAAGTTCATGTAATATCATATTTCTAAAATAAAGAATATTGATAAAATAAACATTTATTTATTTAAACATCCATTCATCTAAATCATTGAACATAAATATATGTAATAAAATTAAATATATTGTGATCGAATAAAAAATGAGAGATTTATAGCAGTTAGAGAGATATATAGGAGGAAAAGAATTATTACAAATTATATTTACTTTATTTTATCAGTACATAATGTTTAATAAAACATTTGTTATATTTCTTTACAGTATGCTAAGTAACTTCTTGTCTGAAAGTATATTTTAAAAAATTAAAAACCAGTACAAAACTATGTTAATAACATGCTCTTTTAAGAGGAATCAGTCGAAGATGAAAGCACACATTCTCACATTATAATGTAAGCAAAATGCATTTCAAAAAGATTGAAACATGTATATCCCACGTAATTATTTATTATAAGTCAGTTACCAGTCGCACAAATGGTTCATAAACGTTTGTGAGCTTTTTGAACAGTTAGTATAAATGTGTGACATGCATGACTATAAATGTTTACAAACGTTTATAAATACTTACAAGTGGTGTCAGTACAGATAGTAGAAGAAATAATTCTTCACTAGGCCTTATATTTCTTTACACATCACTTTAACAAGATAAAGAGTAGAAATTCAAAACTAATATTGTTTTTAAAAATTAGCTCTAGATCATATTCATTAACATTTATTTAGGAGTAATGTTTGATAAATATTTATTACAAATGTTTGCTTACATCTCTAACTGCTCATAAGTATTTGCAAGTATTTTATGCGATCGGTAGATACACGTATTTTTTAATTATGAAATAATCTCTCTTCTTAATTTGGAGCAAATGTAACCAATACTTGTTTAAAAAAGAAATAATTCTGATTATTTTACTCTATTTTTCAAGAATTGGTTAATCTAAGGGCAAATTGGTTAATAAATTTGCGTTTCATGAGAAAATATGATGTGAAAAATAAGTTTGACAAAATAGAAAATTGTACGAAACAATCTCAAATAAAGCTGCATTTTAATAAATTATTATAAATCATTGAAATTATAAAATATATTTATATACTTGAATTGTATATAAATACAAACATTACTTCAAACAATATCAACATAACAAACGTAAATCTTACTTTAGCATTGTTAAAATTTGACAGCACCATTTTTTCTTCTTTTTTTTTTTTATATATTAATGCTCCTTTTACCACTATTATTTTAAAACAAAATTTATAGTACAATATTACGTTTTTGTTTGCATGTTTGAGTTTGCACAAATGTTTGAACCATTTATGATAGAAAAAAATGTGTCTTAATTATTATTTGTTGTATAAAAGAAGAATAGTTAATGCATAGGTAAAGTTTTGCCAAAAGTCTTTGACTGGCATAGTACACTTCATATGCAAACAGCACCAGTACTTACGTTTTTTCACCATTGTGGATGAATTTGATGGAAAGACCACTGCTGATATGTATTATTAATATCACATGGCATTAGTGATAATTGTTGAGTTTGAGGATGAAGTGCCATGCACTTTTTGTGTACTCTATGTAGAAGAGTTTTTGTCTTCTATAAAAGTAATAAAATTTTAATAAAAAATGATTAAATAAAATAGTAATTTAATAAAAGATCATTTACTTCATCATATTGCCATGGACCATCTACAGTCCCTAAACGGCAAAATACGAATTTCACTCCTTGGTTGTCAGCAGATATGCATCGTTCTCCAACACCTAATTGACCTTTCGCGTTTAATCTAATTAACTAAAAAATATAATTATATAAATTATAACTCTTAAATAAAAAATTTAAGGTAAAGATAATCAAAAATTACCTGATTATTGCCAAATCCATGACACTCAGTTGTAGCCATTAAACTAGGAGGAGAATGGCTCATTGTATCCAAACATGTTCCTGTTGCTACATTTCGCAACTAAGATTTAAAGAAGAAAGGAGAGAAATTTATTTGCATATAGAAAAGAACAAGACATGTATATATATAAGCATACATGTGGACGTAAACTCTGATTGAATTAAAAAATTATAGGCAATGTAATATGAATTCCTATTAGTTTTCCTTCCAATATAGTTAAATAATTGTAATCCTTTATTGTAACCCTGCATTACTATACAAAAATAACTGAAGATCTCCTGCTTTACATTGAATCTTGTTATGTACAACTATTAATATAAATACAATAGACGCGTTTATACGATCATATAGCGTAAAATAGTACCTTTTATTGATATTTATTCTATACTTATTTTATTTAAAATATTTAGAATGTTTTTTTATATAGATTACTTTGTAGATTACTTTCTAGACGATACGATATGATGACTATGATAAATCGTAAGTTGTTGTTGCACATTAATTAAATCAATATAGATATTGACATTATTACCTCTCCCCAGTGAATATTAGGCGGTAATTCAGGGAACTTATCGAAAACATCATAAGCCACATTTTCCATGTACCACTGAAAGCTTTTACATCTTTTTCGTTTCTTAAACTCCAACTGCTCTGATATATCACCATGATCAAGCAATTGTGCTAGTGGTTCCCTTGTATAAAAGAATTCCTTGTATTTATCATCAAACCAAGTTTCAACAACTCTCTTGTAATTCTGGGAAGGATTTATAATTAGTAAATATATATATCTGTATATTATAGATTTGTAAATATATGTGAAATTATATGAAATTTCATACTTCATACAACTTCATATTCATATTTATAATTTACATTATAAATAATTAAATTACGTTTCTATGATTGTGTAATAAGAAATAAATAAATATACATGTGTTGTATAATTAATAAAATATACTATATTTATAGTTACTATGATACTATATTTATAGTTTCATAAATTAATGTGCAGAAAAAAATTAATTAGTTTACTTACTATAGTTATTAATGGTCCTTTTTTTTTTTGTGCCAATTTACCAAATGTATAAGGCATGAACCCTCTATATACATGACCAACGTGTGAACATGGTACCCAAAGAATACTTCCTCCACACTGCCATATTTTAAACGATAATTCAAAATTTTCACCACCCCAAATAAATAATCCATCGTCATATCCACCCAACGACAAAAAGTATTCCCGATTTATAGCAAACAAACCACCGGCATGAGTAGGAGACCTAAAGTGAATTTTTCCTAATACATGAATGTAAAATAATTTCATTCTATGTGCTAAGTATATTTTGTGAAATACAAATTACTTGTACGGCATGCTGTTATAAGGTCGTGTTTTTTTCTCTCTTGCAGGCAGTTCATTTTCTTTATACAACATTCCCCATTCAAATATACCCCGATACAGATGTCCTTCTTGGTATACAGGACGATATTCAAAAGTCTTGTGATCAATACCATCAATAATGGGAACTGTCATTACAGTTCTAAAAACATTTGAAAGATAATAAAAAATTCATTTTCTTATGATAATTTAAATAATAATTAACACATTCAATGACAACAGAAAAGTAACCATTTTGACAGAACTGTAAGTTCAAGTGAATATTAGAATATATAATTAAAAAAAATTTGTTTTTGTGGTGCATTCTTAATTTTTTCATCTACTTTTACATTCACTTTGCACGAAGAATAAAGTAAAATATATTCTTGTTTCTTTAATAAAAGTTTCCTGTTAACTACTATATGTTTTCAACCACTTATTGAACATGAATCATATTCATAAACTTTCCCTTTCTCTGAGTTTTTGAACCATAATTATAATTTTAAGTGTTAAAAGAACATTAGCAAAGATAATTCCATGGTATGTTACTTTTCAATGTGGACACTATTTAATAATGAAAAAAATACCTATCAGCAGCTATTGGAGCTAAAAGAGGTGGTAACCAATTAATATTAACTTCACAGTGTGCATCCAAAAACACTATGACTTCACCCTTAGCTTCACGTGCACCATATGATCTTGTCCTTATTAAACCCTCTCTTCTATCATTTCTTATTATTTTAACTATGTCTCCCCATTGTTCTATGTAGGAATCTAAATTTCCCTTTAAATTATCTATAAAGATTTATATTTTACTTATTTCTTGAAATAATTAATAAATATGAATTTGTTTATTATACTGTATAATTGTTACAGCTTCTATTCTGATAAACTTATTGTTCATTTACCTTTATCAGAAAAATCATCTACAAGTAAAATTTCTTCCAAATATTGAGGAGGAGTACGATTTATCACACTATGAACAGTTCTCATGAGTACTGACCAACCCTCATTGTGAAATACTATAATTACACTAGTTTTTGGAAGTGTTTCTGGATAATTCCAATGTTTACATCTGTAAATAGAGAATATATATATAATTTTGTGTGTGTGTGTGTGTGTGTGTGCAAAATTTCTACGAAATCAATACTATTTAATTGCAATATCTGATTTTTATCTTATACTTGTACCAGAATGTATGGAAAGATTTCTGAGATTTAGAATTTAATTTACATAATATTTCTATAAAATTTTGGATTATAAAAAGTAGGAAATAGTAAATTAACTTACTCAGGCATTCTTGTATCAGGTATTGATCTATCCAATGAAATTTCATCAGAACATACCATGTTCATGCCATAATCTATTTCTGATTGTATAATATCATTTTGTTGGTCTTCTCTAAGAATGTAAGGTTTACCTCTTTCACCAGGTCCACTTTTAATTAATACATGTTTTGGTTCAAAGTTACCTAAGTCCTTTGCTAGAAATGGCTCCTATAAAATAGTAAAAACACTGAAATGTATTTATAAGAATGCAAAATATTTTTTGCATTTAGTTTTGTATTTAGTTTGTAGATGCAAATAATTTTATATACTAGAAATTATATTTATTTATTAAAAAGATCTGATATTTTATTTACCTGTTTAACCTTTAAACTTTCTGACCAATATTCTTTAAAATTATTGATAGATTTATCAGAAAAAAAGTTGATAACAATATATAGTGTATAAAGAACAAATATACTACAGATAATAATACTAAAAAGACGGTTTCGTCTTAGCTGAACAATTCTCATTTTGTTGAAGATAATTACACCTGAAATAAAAATGATTAGTATAATATAAAATAAAGAAGACATTTACATAAATTTGATGTGGATAATAGCTCTTGAATACATGATTATGGAAACTAATTAAGCAATAAAGATATATGAGTAAAGAGAAAAATGAATGTAAAATAGAAATATATAATATAAGAAACTCAAAATAAATTTGGAATTAAGTCGTCAAATTATAATTTTTTTAATATTTATATGATTCTAAAACAATTAAAATATTTAGTAAAATACTGTGAAAAAAATACAAAAAATAACATATTAAAATTTTCATTACCTCAAATAAAAATACATAGATACATGAAATAGAATAAATTTTAACAAATTCTGGAAATGTATTATAATGATATTAAAAATTATATCATAATAAACAGAATCATTATTTAAAAAATCTGAAGCTACGTTGCTTCACACCACAGCCAACGTGTCTTTTGCATACACTTGAGTTCCTATGTGTGGGTACTTCACTTTCATCAAACCAACACGCATTCGACATTCCTAGTTTCTATTTTAAAAATTTGTTGTGAAAATGTCGTCATCTGATGTATGGTTGTTATTATGCGAATTTAACGGAAAGATTATGCATTATTCGATTTGTAATCATAAATTGTGCATTATAAATTAAATCAATTTTTTAAAAACCACATATTATATTCATTATACACATCTGTTTATAAAGATCCTTGTGTTAATTAAACAGATACAAATTAAAAAATATACATTTTACGTTATAAATAAATATAGCACATAAGTGCTAAGAAATTAGAAATATTTTTTATGATTGCTTGTATAAACTTTATTTTTTTCCATTTTAGTATCATATGTATGTATGTATCCTATAATGTAAGGAAAGTGTTGACTATATTATATTCAAAATGACATTTCTGAAATTGTTGATACAAATTTCTTAAAAAGATTATAGTATTCATTAAATATTTCTTAAATTTTTAGTTTTTATTTTTTTATATTACTGTTTGTAATATGTAAATATAAAAAGTTTGATGATTATTTATTAGATCAGAGATCATCAAGACTTAGTTATTATGCAAGATGCAATGGAGAATGTAAATATGGGATGTTTATTTGCACAAATAAAAAAGTTGACACAAGAATTAGATTTGTATCGTCAGGTATATTTTATTTTATTAATAGTATCATTTAATCAAATATTATATTAATGCAGCATGAGATATCATTAATGTAACAGAAATGGAGAAATACTATTATAAATGAGAGTGTTAAAAAGAACAATTCATTAATTAGTGTAGAAGCTGAAGAAATAAATAAAGCACAACAGTCTAATCTTGTTATTAAATCAGAACGCGAAGGTAGTCATAATTATGCAGTAGAATTAACATAATAAGAAAGATCTAGTAAGAAATTGGATTCACGAGCAGCTATTGATAGAGAAACGTTAGAAATTTTGCAATCGAATTTAGTAGCTAAAAAATTGAATACGTAACAATTATATACGATTTTAGAAAAACTTGGCCTTAGCAATATGTTGTTATCACTTCCACTGGATAATATTGTTAAAAAATAATGAAATTTCAAATTTCAAATTAAACGTAATATAAACATTGAATAGTAATTATTAATTAATATATAATTTCAATAATTACAGAATCGCACAAATTCCGGAAGTAACTGATTATATAAAAAAGTTAAATAATTCCTGTTGTGAAAATTCAGTACCTGAATCTATAAATTCCAAGAATTATGAGACTAGTAATATTCATAATACTTTAGAAGCAACGGTAGAATCCCTCAAGGTATGTTGATATTATGCATATAAGGTACATGTAAGGGAACTAAAAAACTTAAAAATACATACTTTCAATAATTTTATGAAATATAATGTAACAAATTTATAATTTTTTAATTTTTATTTTTAGAAGGAACAGGAATATTTAAATATGAAATTAAATACTGCATAAACAGCTTCAAAAAGCCTTCTGTCTGAAAATGTAAAGCTTCAAATACAAATAACAACATTACAGTCTTAAAATAATTCATTGCCAGCCCAGCATACAGCTTTGCAACTTGCGAATTTGTAACTTGTTACTGAAAAAGAAGAGGTTAAACTTGAAATTATTAAATTTATTTCTCTTTTAATTCAAAGTATTGATGTCTCCACTATGTAAATATATTTGTATATTTTCAAATATTACTTATTCAATTTTTTAATTTAACTGTCACAAGAACGCAGTGTGCAACAACCAGCACATACACAACTTGTTTATGACATGTGATAAATGTAGAAAATGAAATCTAAGCTCTTACATAGAAAAATGATGTTGACCAGCACTAATGTGTTATGTATCAGAATGATGGAGCTGAGGTATGTAAAGAAAAGAAAGAGGTTTGAATGAAAGCAGTGAGAAGAGGAAATGATCCCACAAGTACAGGAGAAGGTGGTAAAATATATGGAGAACCATTTAAAGTGGGACTATATTTAAAAATAAAATGAATTCGTTTTGTATTCAAAAATAATTACTGTATATATGTGTTTTAGGACGAATTTCATACAAGATTAGGTTTTTGTCGACGAGGTTCAATTGCCGTGGAAGAGATGAAAATGGTTCCCAATTCTTCTTTACTCTTGGTTCTGCATCAGAATTGCAGAGTAAACATACAATCTTTGGTAAGGTTACTGAAGAAACTATATATAACATGCTTAAACTTAAAAAAGCACCTGTAGATGAGGTAAATTTAATGTTTACTAGAAAATATATCAAGAATGTATATAAATATTATATTTCCTCTTTTTTGTAGAATGATAGACAACTTTATGCACCAAAAATGATAAAAACTATAATATTGAACAATCCATTTTCTGATATTAAACCAAGAATAATGGTACAGGAAAGTGAAGAAGTAAAGGACAGTTCAAAAACTAAAACAGCAGCAATAAAGTAAAAATCATATATGTTTGCAGAATTTGGTCCTGATAGTATTATTCTTTGCAATGAAAAATTTCGTTACAAAGATTTCAATCTTTTATCATTTGGTGAAGCAGCAGAGGAAGATGAAGAAGAATCTGTGATGTTAAATAAAAAGTTTAGTGATCAGGGCAAATCAGCACATGATTATTTAACTGATTTAAAATTAAGCTCATAACCAGCCGTTGTCCTACCTGAGCTTGCAAATAAGAAAAAGTAGGAAGGCTGTTGTAACGATTGGGAAAGTGACGACGAAGTAAAAACTCGAGAAGATTCATATGTTATAAACAAAGAAGAAGATAAGTTATAAACAAACAGAAGAAACTTCTATAACTCTTATTTAGTTTATAATAATGTAATTAGTTGTACTCTATATTATTTTTTATATGTATGGACTGTCGTTATTTACTATAAGTGTTCCCGAATGATCCTGATTATTTAACATATAAAAAGTGATAAGGATAGTTTAACACAGCGATGCGTATAAGAGAAATCTTCGATTTGGAAATCTTGCAATTGGTATTATTAATTTTGCATAAATTATTGAATTTATTGTTAATCACTAATTGATATTGTTAATACTAAATTACCTGAGTCATAAATTTACAATAAAAGTAGAAAAAGTTAAGAAAATGTCGACTATTCTAGAGAAAAAGTAATTAAGGAAATCGTATGTGCAAACTTCCTTTGCTTTTGCATTATTACGACGTGATCTAAGACTTGGAAATCGCAATCTGTTCTTGTTTTGTCTTTGCATGTAATTGATACACGTGATATAATATACAAAATAAAATTAATTGTAGGATGTTTTGAATAAATTTGTTTAGATGTATACAGTTTGCATTATTTATAATGCAGGAAACTGGAAATATTGGTGCAATCTGCAAAGTTATACGTAGATCGTCACTAATGTAGAGAATGACGAGTAGTGAAGAGATGCTAAGTAAATCACTAATATAGGAAACAACCGTTAATGAAGAGATGATAAGTACTCGATGATTTAAAATGTATACAATGACCGAAAATGAAAAGATGATGAGTAACTCGATAGTCAATAATGTAGAGAACAAACAATACATCAGAGATGATAAGCTACTCGATAATCAGTAAAGTAGAAAACACCAATAATAATGCGATGATAAGTAAATCGACAATCAGCAATGTAGAAAACAACTGTTCTTGGAGAGATAATAGGTAATGTAGGAAACACAAATATTGTGATTATATTTAAATCGACAATCAGTAGAGTAGAAAACTACTGCTTCTAAGAGAGAGTAGGTAACTTAATAATCTGCTATGTTGAAAATACCTATACTAAAGTGACGATAAGTAACCCGACAATCGGTAGTGTAGAAAACAACTGTAATTAAAGAAATAATAGAATACTCGATAATTAGTAATGTAGAAAACACCGATATTGATCTGATAAGTAAGTCGACCATCAGTAGTGAAGAAAACGATTGTAAGTAAAGGGGTAATAAGTAACTCGATCGAGAGAATTGTAAATAATGACTGAAACTGCAGGGCTTATAAGTTACGCGTTAATATTAGCTGTATAAATTTATAATATAAGTGAAAAAATTACGACATTATTGGCTATTACTAGTACATATGACGAATTTGTGTTAAAATATATCCATAACATGCAAAAAATTATTAAATTATAAAGCGTATTATTAATTACAAATTAAAGTTATCAGTAACAAATAGTTTGCAAGCGAAAAAGTTAATTAATTATTAGATAATACTTGAACAAAGAACGTATTTGTGTTAAAAAGCAACCATAATTTACGTGAAATTAATACACTACTAAATTTAATGTAATAACAAATTAAAATTGTAGACAACAAATAGTTTGCAAAGTTTATTAACGATAAAAGTAAAGAAAGTTAATAAATTATTAATTATTACAGCGGAAAAGTAACTTTTAAAGGAATCGGTAAAGTTTGGAAATTTTCACGGATCTTCGCCAGGCTGCCGCTATATAAGGGGCCCGCGTGCAGGCTCGACCTAGTTGTCGCTTCGACTTTGGGGGGATCGCGATAATATTCTTTCTTTTTGTTTCAGGTTTTAATTATTTCTTCTTTCAGATTCTATTTCTTTTATTCTAGATTTCATTGTTTGTGCATTCAAGTGTTTTGTACACTATGCGAATGCTTCGTCGTTGGTTTATTTGTATATCATCGTTGGCTAGATCAATGGCTATTCAGTGACCATTGTCCACTCTCTCGAATAATTTAATAATAATTCCTTCTTTCAGGTACTAATTATTTCTTCTTTCAAGTTCTAATCATTTTTCTTCTTCCAGATTTTATTTCTTTAATTCTATTTGTCTTTGTTTCAGCATTCGAGTATTTCGTACAATATTCGAATGCTTCGTCGTTGGTTTATTTGTATATCATCGTTGGCTAGATCAATGGCTATTCAGTGGCCATTGTCCACTCTCTTAAATAATTTAACAATAATTTCTTCTTGCAGATTTTATTTTTTTCATTCTATGTGTCTTTGTTTCAGCATTCGAGTATTTCGTATAATATTCGAATGCTTCGTCGTTGGTTTACTTATGTCTCATCGTTGGCTAAATCTTTCCTTTCACAAATTTTACGACTTCCGTTCGATTTGTTTTCGTTAGAGCGTTCGAGTATTTCGTATAATACTCGAGCGCTTCCTCGTTGGTATGTTTATATCTCACCGTTGGAATGTTTCTGTCTCGTAGTTATGTTGCTCAGGTCTCGTCGTTGGCTTGCTCGTTCCATTTGGTTATTATCCTTGATGGTTTCCTCGTACTAATCCCTTTCCTTTCAGCTACATATTAACAATAATATATTCTGTTTTAGCTTTTAGGTTTCTCAAGATTCTGTTTGCGACACATCAATGAACGATGCGTGCGTTTACTTTTAAGTAATCATAAGATAGATCCATAGACTAAGTATCATGTGCGCGCTATCTGTACAAAGGTAAGCTACCTAATTTGGAGCGAAATTTATAAATTCTCTATCATTTTCTTATCCCCCTCGTTTAGCAAATAGAACATAATTGTTCTCGCGATAATCGCGATCGTTCGTAAGTACCGACTAGCCTACGCGACGTGCTCTCGTGTACTCGATAAGTACATGCTTCGTAAGTCATCCTCACGACTCGTCTCCGACACTCATTTCCAGTCACTGTCAATCTCGTCATGCATCGGGTTCCAGGGTGACCCCCTCGGATCAGTGCGTCTTCTGACCTCGACGGGGCGGTCCGCTGCCTAAGTCGTACGCGACTGGGGCTCGGGCACATGCTGGCCGGACTAGTACCATCTACGGTTAGACCACAGGGATGATTAAGTAGTTCTACCCCGTGTGGCTGGGATGCGAAGTGTCTGTCTTGGCCGGCAACCGCCCAGCAGGGCCCTCGCGTTGACACTAGAAGTTTCATTGGTTCAGGGACTATCCTTGGTCCACGTGTAAGTCTTGGCGAGCGCACCAGTGGCTGGAATTGAGCTAGGCCCGATCGGGAGGGTGCCGAGGTATGAAGTTATCTCTGTACACGGGAGTACATCGCCTAGGCTAGTCGGTCTTTCGAATAATCGCGATCTCGTTCGGGCGCGTCGCGATTTTCTATTTGCTCGCGTGTTTGATATTTCATTCCCTATTTTTATGGGAACTTGAAAATATCTTAGCGTTGCGACAGTAGAGTTACAGTATACCGAATCGAAATTCGCTTTGTAAGACACGAAATTAAATAAAGTGTCAGTAGAGTCACTTTAACTTAATTCGCTCCAAGTTAGATTAGGGTACCTTTGATACAGGTAGCACCAGCAGGCTGCGCCACTAGGGCACATGTCGGGTCTCGATGCGTAGCCACCTCCACGTGGTGAGACCTGGTAATTGATATCGTTTCCCAAAGGAAAACGATATCAAGCTAAGAGCTACGCACAAAGTATAACATATGTCCTATCTCTTGTGAATTTTCACTGTTCCATTTAGAATTTGAAAATACAGAGTGGGCAATATCTGTTTAAATGACATTTAAATGAAGAGGAATTAAGCTAACAAGGAAGTGCAAGTGCTTCGGGTCACCGATTTAGTTGATACTCTGCAGGTTTGTAGATATCGTCATGCAGTTTAAGAAAATACGTCATTATAGCGGCAACTACCCAATAGTTTTTGAGATATTTACGATTAAAGTTTCATTACTTTATTAATTACAGATTTATTTCCATCATTTTACAAGTGCGGTCGTGGCCTAAAAGCGATAGAGGAATATTCCTGTGGTAATGGACCGTGGTTCGATTCTCGTCCCATGGTTGGTAGTCTTTTAAACTACTTTTGATTGTGTTCATTTTTCGTCTATGAAAAAATTGTAAATAAAATTTCTAAATAAACTAATTTATTTTTTACGCTTTCTTATGCTAGTGTATAATTATTACAAAATAATAAGAATATTAT